TGGCGGGCGTGGCGATGCTGGATGCTGGGTTCCCAGCCGGCAGGCCGGTTCCTGCCCTGAGGGAGGAGGGGGCTGCTCAGAGGGGACTGGGGAGAAAACAGGAACCCAGGTTTCCAGCCTGGTCCTCCACCACGGGCTGGCTTCCGGCCCCCTCTGAGACCATCAAAGCCGCTTCCGCTTTCCTGGCCACTTCCTCTGCCTTGGGCTAAGGTTTCCAGCCCCCTCCTCCAGCTTGGTGCTGGGCAGGGCCTGGGCGAGGCTGTCGGGGCCTCGGCCCTGAGGATCTGGAGCCTGGGCAGCAGGGAGGCTGCCCGTGCGCCCCAGTTCCCACTCACACACCTCGGCTTTGGCCCGGGCCCAGACCGAGGTCCCCACCAAGGCCTGGCCCAACTGGACAGATGATTTGTCTCGGCTGGGACGGGAAACCCATGGGGCCACTGGTGTCTGGATCCTGCCCACTTGACAAAGGGAGGACGTCCTGTCCCCAGAGACTTTCCTCCCTGCCCTTCCCACTTCCTCTGGGATCCCCGAGGAGGTGAGCACCCAGACGCCAGGTCTCAATGCCCTAGCCCTCACGGCCTCAAAACCTCAAGGATACAGGGGTCCCCAGGGGCACTGCCAGGGCAGCAGGAACGACAAGAGGACTTCCTTTGGCACAGGAAGTGGCCCCAACTCTGGGCCCAGCCCCCTGCCCAGCCCCACATCCTGAGGAAGGTGGTGGGGTCACACCAGCTCAGTCATGGGACCCAAGTCACACTGGCCTGAAGGACAGGCCCGGGCTCAGCCTCTTGCTGGCTGCTGTGGCCATGCCTGGGGCCGGGGAGTGAGTCACAATGACTGGGCCCCTTTTCTGGAACTGAGACCCTTGGGGATCTCTGCCTATCTGGCCTCACTGATGCTCACAGGGAGGTCCGAGCCCATGTGTCAGACAGTCCAACTGAAGTCCAGATAAGGGGATGCTCTTGCCTGAAGCAATTTCATGTCAGAGCTGGGATGTGAGCCTGGGTCTGTCCACTTCCAGGGCCTCAACAGTGCTGTACCCGCCCACTCCTGTCCCTGTGTGTATAGTGTGGGGCAGGTGGGGGGTTGGGCCGAGGCTCAAGATCTCACAGGATGTAAGACTGAGGCACCCCAGGCCCCAGGGACCTGCTAGGTGCGGAAATGTGTTGGGGGCAGGGGCAGGTGCAAAGTGTGGTATGAGAACATAAGGGGGAGCACCCCCAGTGAACCCAGGATGGAGTTGGCCACTAGGGGTGCAGGCAAGGGTCTGTATACGTCATCCAATAACTGTGTGGGACTGGGCCAGGGGAGGGTTGGGGCAGAGGCTCTGTGCACCCCTCAGCTCAAGTTCCAGAACCAAGCAAGGGGAGGTCTCCAAGGCTGTGTCTCCCTCCTTGTTTCTCCTAGGACAAGCTCGGATGCCGGCCCTGAGCCTCTGTTCTCTAATCCCTAAAATGGGGTTAACCAATCCCATCCCTTCTCAACACTCTGGGGAGCCTGGAGGGTGAAGGAAGTAACGCTGGCCATGTGTTAGGTGTGTGGCGGCAGATGCAGGCCCTGCTCCACGAGCCAAGCTCTTGGGCCTGGACTGTGTTGTGTGGTGAGTGAGGGGACAGAGGGAGGGGTCTGTGCGAGCCCTGCTGTGTGAGCGGAGCTCCGTGCGGACCAGCTCATGGGCTGCTCTTGCTCTGGCCCAGTGCCAGGCTCTGGCCGTGCCTTGGGGGGTGTTCTTGGGCTCTGCCCCCCACCCAGCAGCTTCACACAGGGTCCATTGAGGCCGGGACATTCCTCCCCGCCTGTGTCACTGGGGAAGGGGGGCTGGCCCCGCCCCCACAGATCCGGAAGGCCCGGCTGCCCCAGGAGAAGGCGCTGGATGCTTCCCAGCACATCTGGAGGTCACGACCCTATTTCTGCTGCCAGGGGGTGCGACAGATGTTTCCTCCCAGGCCTGGCCCTGCACTGGGGGCGGTGTGCAAAGGCTAGGGAGGAGGCCACCCAGGGAGCAGGGGAGCCCCAGAACAGGGGGAGCCCTGCAGTCAGCCAGCCAACTGCAGGGGCAGTCGCAAGTGCCACCGAGAGAAGTCAGGGGCGGCCGCCTCCACTCGTTCGCAAACTCGCACACTGGCCCGGCGGGGCAGTCAAGCAGAGGTCAGAGTGGGGACCTGGGAGCCAGAGGCAAGGACCAGACACGCCGACTCGGGACTGGAGCCCGAAGGGAGGCTGGGAAGCTACGGGCAGCAAAGGCGGTGAGGGCCCCCCCCACAAACACGCACAGCACCCGAGCCCACGCCAGTCCACGTTCTCCCCTCCAGCCCGACCGCGGTGACTCCACTCCCCCGCGCCCGCTGGTACCTCCG